TATCTCAAAAATGTAAATATTTATATTGTTATAAATATACAACTATTATGTCACATGAATGTAATAGAGGATAAATATCGAATATATTTTAGTCGCTATTTATTAAATTGAAGTAATAATTATAAATTAATAAGCCGTCTCGGTGTAAAAATAAATCTTTTCAGAAACGTATCTCTAACCTCCAAGTGTGTCTTACCGTGGCTTTTGTGACCAAATACAAGCCGTCCTGCCCGACGGTGTCGACGCTAGGCGAGCTCTTCATGATCGTCTTCACCCTCGAGATTGGCAGGCGCAGCTCTTTCATCTTCACGGCGGGAGGTTGCGTACTCATTGCGCGCACTTATTCTTCCTTCCTTCTATTTTATTTATACGGAAAAAGCGTCGGGCGACTAAAAACGAAGCCGCGAAGGGGAGATTTTGACAGCAGATCCCACAAAATTTGAAGTGTAGCGATTAATTATCGACGATGCTCCCTCGCGCTGCAGATGGTGCTGGTTTCGTTACGCGGCATGGAGCAAGAAGTCACGACAGAGGGAAAACTTTGCATTGACAGCCACTCTTCGGTTCGTTCCGGCAATTATGCTACGGAAAGTGATTGGCTGTCGCCTCTCCATGTTCTAGAGCGGTACTCATAAAATATTCATAACTCGATATCTTCGAAATAATCTTAGATCTGCTCATAAATTGAAATTTACATTTAAAATCATCTTGAATCTGAGACGATCTTAAACGTAAGATCGGACTTAATAATAATATCGCCTATAGATTCGCGGTTACAGGTCTCTGAACAAAAAAAAAACGCGTTTTTCGTGACATCAACTTTGTTATTGATGAATTAAAATGTGCAATATCACAATAAGACTCGCATAAAAAATTCGCTACTACACGCGGGTTATATTTGGAACGTCGATAGTTCTCTTAGATACAAATGAAAAAAATAGATATATTATTCCTGGAACGCAAGATCGTTGAAGAGCCTACGGTCTTCAAGTGATAATCCATTCGGAAACAGCTGTACCTCTGTAATGGAATTCTCCTCTCTCGGAATTTTCCCCGCTGCTCCCCTATTTGTCACGTGATCGTGGAACAAGAAAACGAAATGACGGATCATGTAAAATGAGAGCGAGGATCGAGGGGAGATTTCAGAGTAGAATCCCGTCTCGTCGATTCTAGAATAGAGGGGGATTCCGTACGGCCAGGTTGTTATTCCGACGTTCATAGGCGACACATTTGACAAAAATCTGATATTTCACAGAGCCCGGTAACGATAGAATTCCATAACCAAATAACTGACATTAATACCGGCGCATAACGTAGTTATGTATATCAGCAATATTATGGGTAGACTTGACAATATTAGATGCGTTTTATGGAGTATCTCGACATCTGAAATAAGAGTAACGATAAATACGGTCTAATAATAAGAGGAGATAGATCGTGTTACCTAAGCGTGTTGCGTTAACTTACTTGCGTAGCCGAGAAACGTAATGTAAATGTAATAGCTTATAGCTATGAACCAAAAGGTGTTCCCAACAAACCGCGCCGAGAACGTATCGTTGTTTATCAAAGCTGCAAAGGTGAAACGCGTTAAACAACAATTCAATAATATCGCTTGACAACTGTATTGACGCACCGTTGTATAGAAATAACTGTAAGATGTGAAGTATGATTAACGGAGGAAACATCGCGTTCAAATGGATGTCGAACGCGTAGCCCCATTCAACGTCTTGCGTTCTGTCTATCCTGAGATACCGATTGCTCATAAACCTACAAACGTATAATATATATTATATATTAGTATATATCGTATAGTATATATTGAAAATTAAGAATAGACTCGAGCTAGCTTTAATTAAGCTGACAATTTTCAAATTAATTCAAGTTTCCAAGTCTAAGGTAAAGAAGACTACGATCTAACAGGCGCAGCCTAAAGATAATTGATATGCTTACCAAAACACAGTTGCTATTAACAATCCAGTGGTTATGTAATCGATGAATACCATATAAAATAACAACTTTACAAATTGGAAGAATCTCAAACTGAGTACTATGGCGAAACCAACGGTAGATATGCAGAGACAGCACGTAACCAGCACCAAAAACGCTGGGTCGTCTCTCGCAAATTGTGACTTCGTCTCTGCAAGAATCCAACACACGGGCATGTTGAAGAATATAAAGCTGTGCTAACGATGCACAAGGTACTGGGAGGTTGCAACGTACGTTTCCTGTTCTGGAAGTTTCTGTACACTTTCTGCGGCGCCACGAACAGAAAGATCATCTGCCAAACGGCGAACTCGAAGTCCATTTGCTCAAACTTCAGCAATTTTCTCAGATATTTGTAGCACTTGGTCGCCGCGCCCATGCAGTTGTGCCTGCAATATGTTCGCCCACTCAATCAAACTTCGAAACCAAGCGATAAAATACAATAAAGTAATTAAATAGCGGTTTTAAAAATAAATACGGTAAAGTAATTAAATACAGCAAGGTAATAAAACACAAATAATACGCATACAGGCATAAAATTGCTTTGAAAAAAAAAAAACACCAAGTTGGAGTTAAACTATAAAACGAAAACTGGACACGTTGATGCAATTGTTGATTTAAGAAGATAATAAATTGCGAAAAGAAGCGACGAGTATCCGTGCCTGTAAACATACGCGACGTTACCTGTAAACGATCGGCATCGGCAACGAGGACGAGAATTCTGTCGGAACGGGCGAGTGGCACCGGCTCGTCGGCGGCGAAGTGGAATACTTCATTCTCGATCCTTTTGACAGCTCGCGTAATTATTCTCGACAGTGCGACAGACAAGCATACCCTCAACAAATTTGCGTCCGGGAAACGATTTCAGGTTATGTTCTCGTTATTATGACAAGCCCGAAAACGCCTCGCACTAGTTGCACTGCCGCCCTCTCGAATTTCACGACCGCGGGAAATAGGAATCGACACGCTCGATTAAGAAAATATTTTATCTTATAAAAATAATTATACCGCGCTCGGTTGGATTATCGCCGTGAATATATATCGTGCGCTCGCGAAAATAACTTCGAGATAATTGTAAATCAATTAACATCGCGTTTACGGACGTGAATGCGCTGGATGGTCGATAATATTAATTATCTCAGCAATCATCGACTAGCAGATATTTATAGAATTTTCAGATTTATTTTTATTCATCGATATTCCTTAATTTACTGTAACACAATAGATTTGTGCGCGCACACATGCTTTAAATCTTTTTATAACGCATAGATATACGTCACATACGTTGCTTCAGTCTGCAATTTATTGCTCCTTGAACAACATCAACGTATTATCCGGTTTCCGTTCCATCATTTAACTCGATATCTTTTTACAAAGTGATTTAATCTTATTTTACTGTACATTTTTATGATACATCGTAAAAAATAACTCTCTTATGCAGTTATAAAAAAAAAGGATTGTTAATCTTAAGTAATTAAATCGATATTTTCGTCAATGATGGCGTAACCGTACGCGCAGAGAAATTACGCGATCGCAAAAGCCTAATATGTAGGAAACTGTACTCTGCCGCGTTCGGTACATCGGATGTATAATTGATCGATTTCTCCGCATATACGCTTCGTACAGCTGATGCGAATTAGTACTGGATAGGCCTATAGAGAATGCGATGTATACGTTATGTTTACGCACACATATATTGCTAGTTGAAAATACTATAAAACTCAGATTAAAATATTTTTTACAGCTCTTCAAAAAGCATATTTAATTATATATTAATGTTACTGTGTGCTGTTATTAATAATATTATTATAATTATTATTATTACTCAACTATTAAAAACACGTATCGCCTCCGTCTCATTCATCAAAAGATACAAAGTAGAATATAATACACAAGTTAGCGAAATTTAAAAGAAAATGCTCTTATAAAATAGAAGTGTCTTCAATCCTACAACATGTATATGCGCTGTACGGCACGTAGGTATGTCATCACGGAATAAATAAAAGGTAGACAGATTCCGTAAGTTCTGGCCAGCGGGACAATTGCGGGACAATTGTGTCTGATTTTGTATAAACGCGAGAGCTCGCACTCTCCTCCGAATGTCCGAACAAAAATGTGAACTTTTTAATTCGCCTCCGCCCGGTTCTGCCAGTACTGGAGCTGCATGGATAATCGTTGATTGTTACTCGGCTTGAGAGGCGTCACGCAGCGGGCGGCGTCCGGAAATCGCTCGTGATAACGCTCTAGTCTCAGGTACTTGACAGTCACTAAATTACCTGAGAAGGAAATAAAGGAATTCCATTGGAAGTAAGACATTGCAACGTATACCTACATTAAAGTCGATGTAGAAATCAGCATAAAGCTGGCACAGATTGTAGCAATATCGTCATTCTTCATATTTTTATCTTCATTAAAGATAAAAAATTAGGTACTACTATCCTTTTATATTAATATTCTGCACGTCTTGTAACAAGTTTCTCAATAATGCTATCTAAATTCCGCGAAAACTTTACGCGAGGCGACCACAGACTGTGCCAGCGTTCAAGAATTAAGTTTTAGGGAACAAATGGAAATTTATAGATTATGGACGTACCATCGAACCAACAACCATGTAATGCCCTGTAAGCTTTGCCAGCGTCTTCCTGCGACATACATTTCATATAAACGCAACCTTCACGACTACCGATGTCTACTCGAATGTGAAGTATGTTCACACCCTCCCCGCACTTTTCTAAAATAGCATCCTGCACTCTCGTCTCCCAGTCGTCTTCGGTTTCGCTATATCGTGATACAAAGCAACTTATAAGTCATCCATTACCGATTATAGATTATAAACGCGCACATTATACTCGTGTATATTATACTCACATGTCTGGATCAAACATGTGCCTGATTTTCAGGCAAGGCGTTGGCGAACAAGTCAAGCTATTAACCGATCCCTCCATCGTTTCGAACGCTTGTCCCTGCCAGACCTTCGGCTTCTTACCCAAAATCGCGCTTTGCGTCGGAGATTTATTCAAACTGTTATTCGGCAACCATCGCCATACATGAAACTCTTCTCCCGCCACTTGCTGCACCTCTCTTCGAATTCTAAAAGATCAAAGATCATATCGTTGTTACTCATCCGCAAGTAAAATATGAAAACAGAGAAAGACACGAAAGATCCTTTTTTTTACCTGGATTCGTTTTCATCTAAGAACTTCACCGCCTTTTCCCAAAGACCGGCCATTCTTTTGCGATCTTTCGGTGGAATAAGATTGTCTCGCACGTGATTTATGGCAAGGAAACTTTCCTGCGCGCCCCCGGGTTGCGTGGACGCATTTTGATGATGTGTCTCAACGATACTTATAATATCGCTAACAAGCTTAAATACCTCTCTCTCCGTAGATTTCTTGTATCTTAGATACCAAAGATACGATTTATAAATGCCGATACCTGTTAATAAGACTGAAGATGCACAGTTACCATTACAAATCTTTTGATACACGTATTTCTGTCTATGTATAGATCGCAGTACCATAAACAGATATTACTTTGCGAGTCACTTGTGAATTCTCGTAAAAAACATTTCTTTCTCTTTTTATTTATTATACATTCGATATATAAAAGATACGGCATTGTATTAATGCGCTCCAGGATTTAAAGAAATGACTCCTTGCAAAATAATTCCAGTTTACGATTTGCGTATTGAAGACGAAATTACATTGCCAAAGCATATAGAATCGTTTTAAAATGCAACTACTTTACTTAAAGTATATAAGCTTACATTGCATTGAAAAAGAAGTGAATAATAATCATACACATCATGTTAACAGCATGCACATGGAAATCTTATAACACAGAATGAGGTTCAGTAAGTTTTCTCAAATAAACAGTCTGTTAGAACTTTACCGATTGCCACTATAAGGAGAGAAGAAAAGATGGTAAAAAGTTTGTTCTTAACGAGGCATTGCATTGGCAGCTCAGGATTTAAAATCGCCATCCCAATTTTTCCATTTAGACGAGCGGAAAACAATTTATCCTGTAAGAATAAAAAAAAATGTATTAGTAAGTATTGTGAGCACGCCTGCGCCCCAAAAAAAGAGCGTGAGATTGACATGTATATTTACTAGAGTATCCAACATTTCCGTGGTTGCTCCGTTATCGTCATTTACATCGATAAGCGAGATACCCCATTTCGGGTTCTTAATGATTAAGAATTGCGCGCTGTGCAAATCCTCCTTCACCTCAAGGCTCGTCTGGAAGTGAAAATTATCAATATACAGTTCTTACATTGTTAGATTAATTTCAGTAATTAATTTCGTAATTAATTTCAATTCTCAAAACCCACCACTTTATCGCTCGTAAACATCTCCACGATATCCGCATCGGTCAAATATGGTTTTTCGTTCGTATTCTCGCATATATTAGATACCGCCTTTCTCGTTAGGATGGGTTGCAGGCGTTTCAACAGTTGCAACACGGATTCTATGTTTTCCTTCATTATGCAATTTACCCCAGGCGCTTTAAAATCAGGAGTTCCATCGACAAAACATTGCGGTATGTTGTTATCTATAAGTATAGGTGGTACGAAACTATAAATTAAGATCAATACAAATAATACATAATGTGAAAAAACAAAAATAATTGTAAACGTGAGGCACTTTCGAATCATACTGTCTCTCCTGTGTTTCAAACGAAAAATTGTTACTTTTTTCAAACAGTCAGTATTACGAACGAGAAAAATAACTGAGAAATAACAAACAATGTATTTCAATCTCCTTGAAAATGAAAATGTCAATCCTTTATTTAACAAATTCAAAATTCTATGTTCAAAACTACTTTCTCTCCTATACAGATTAAAATTTTCCTTCAAAGTAAACTGCAGTTTATTATATAGTGCATACAGGAGATTAAAAAGCATGTCTAAATGCTTGTAAATTAATGATTCAAAATTCAATATTTCTATAGAACAAAAGATACGATATGTATAACAAAAATATCGGCTCAATCATTTTTTTTTTTTCTATAAAACAGCAAGTAACTCCCGTTCTTAAAATCGGTCTCTTCTGCAAAGAATTAAACGTTTCGATTGATATATTTTTTCCGAGCTCTCCACGAGTTTTATGTCCCTACATACAAATAAAACATCGTATTATCGACTAAGTTAAATGGTACAAAACGCATGTCCGCAAATATAGGTTGAAATATATTGGAGTAGACATATAGAAAGAACGGGAAAAGGAAATAAAATATCCAAATTATATAGTTCAAGAGATATGCGATTTTTATTATACATGTGTATATATATAGATATAGAGCGAGAGAAAGGAGAAAATACATATTCAAGAGATTCTCTTGTATGTCTAATTTAGTAAGCTCGAGATAATTACTTTAGCTTCATAAAAATAATGTGATTGAACGTTAGTGATAATTAGTAATAAATATACAATAATTGGGCTCCATTATAGGCCAAAATCGATTCGTGAAAAGAACATGTACATTGTGCTTTGCGCCTTGCACCTTGTTATTTGACAATCAAACGTATATTTCTCAGAAATCTATCCTTCCTCTTAAAGTTATATATCCGTCTCAGAAATCTCCCCTAGTTTATATCTCTGCATACCTACCCGATGAAAGCGATGGAAACGTCTCGGTTTTCCCACCAAGTCCCAGATATATTATCGCAAGAACGACAAAGAACAGGGCAAGCACTGCCACGAGGCCCATCGATACCATGTTCTGATTGTTTCGTACATCTTCCCTGTTTGTCGTCGACGGTTTGTAAGTCGCTCTACTGAAAATATCCCGAACTCTATTGGCGAACGATGCATTGGGTCTCGAGCTAAGTAGCGTTCGTTTATATTACATTACGTATAATTCAGATAAAATAATAAATTCATATATACCTTGGCTGACTCCACTGCGAGTATATGCCCCTTACGGTAGAGAAGTGACCATTCGAATCTCTCTCTTTCACCTCTGGTAAACCAGGTGACGAAGTATAGCGTAATGGACCTAAAGTAAAAAAGTATCCATATATGCACGGTATAAAAGAACGAACGAATTAGACACATTAGTAATTCTATAATTAATATAAAATAAAATTCTTATTTTAAACCAAACAAGTGTGTTTTTGAAATCAATCTGAACAAAATTAAAATTACAGATAATGCAAACGTTCAATTATATATAATTACAGAAGTAATGACTGATAAAACTACTGAAGACTGTTAAAAATTAGGTATCTCGTATTAGAGCATATTAGATATTATTTTATTGCATCAGAAAGCTCCCTTACTTTTTGAGCTCATCAATGATGATGACGATGTGTTTATAAAAGATCGCGAATTCTCCTTGAGTTCTTGTAAATTCCTTGTAAACGCTGATAAATATGGGGCTTCATAATTAGCAAGAGGATCCGTTTGATTCGCACTTCCACTTGCGTCCTCCGTGGACTGAATCGAGGAGACGCTCGGCTTCAAGGGAGACACGTTATACTTGCTGTCCTTAATCGGATAGGCAGGCCTGGTCGACAAATTCCCGCGATCGTACACCGGAGAATCGTATATTTTGCTGCTCGGGATGTTGGGCACGTACTTGTCGTACGGACGTCCATACGTGCTTCTAGTCTCCCCCGCGACATCCGAGTCCGATCCGGTCTCTAAATCCTCAGATGGCTTAGATACATAGGTACGCTGCGTCTTGATAAATTTGCTCTGCGTGGTTTTCAAAGTTGTGCGAGAAGGCACGCCCGAGTTGTCGTAATTCGTCGCCGTGGGACTTTTGAACTCGGAATGCGGCGGCGACTGATTCTCGTTGACCGGATTTTTCGCCACGTTCACAACATCGGGAGGAATAATCGAAGGCGGAGGCATTGGGTTCGCCATCGTTTGCCGGCGCAGGTTCGCGCTCTTCTTCTTCTTGACGACACTCGTGTTTGTGTCGTCGTCCGTGTCCTCGCTGCTATATCTAACGCATAAATGAAGAAAACAAAACAATATCAAGACCCAAATACATAACACATCCTACATAATATACGCGTCTAGCGTTATTGCAATTCGAAGTTTATAAACTTTCCCTATAGAATTTGCGTTTACTTAATAAAATCTATTTGTTTCTAAAATATACAACAGCCTCGTGGAAGTCAACTGAGGGATTGGCGACAGTCGCCAAAGGAGATAGCCGTATTTTCTAAACAATTAACGTAATGCACTTAGGTATATCGCGCATTGCCAAAAATGGACTGTAAACATTGCCTCCTGCACCTTCTTCCATTCAGAATCGAAATAGGTGCACAAAAATCTTGCTTCGCCGTCAAGGATCGTTATCGCATGCTGACCTCGCACGAATTCGAAACCTCGGTGTAATCGTGTACCGGTCTCTCGACTCCTACTCGCTCCTTCTCTCTTTCTCTCTCTCTCTCCCCCCTCTCTCTCACTCTTGCCCAAATTTCCAGATTACTTCAAGCGTACAAATTTATCTGAAAGAAAACTCGTGTCGATGCATATTTTCTTATGAAAAACTCTCACCTGGCGGCCAACGAGTGTCGGGAGGCTGCTCCTCCCCCGCCCGCGCCGCGGGCCTCCATGAGCTTCTTCAGTTTCTTTTCGAGTATCTTGCGGGTCGTGTCCGTCACCGGTCCCACCGGGTACCCGTACTCCATCAGCTTCGTCCGCAGCTCGGGGTCACTGAGCGCGTCCATCGACATCTTGTCCCGCGGGTGAGCGTGATCGCGATCCCGAACAGGGGCTCGTGTGGCCCGGCTCGTTGAAGAGCGACGCCCGACGTACGGCGACGGTCGTATCGCGACGTTGCGGGACGTCTTCGCGGACGCCCGGCCCCGCTTCCGTTTATTTCGATCGATGATCGATCCTCTCCGCCGCTCGCCGCCAGCCGAGGGACGCCCGCTCGGTCGCTCACCGCGTTGCCGCGTTGCTCCGCCTCGGACGTTCGCGCACGTGGACGGCCGTGTACCCCGGTTCGTCCCCGGGTCCGTCTACGCGGCCGCACGACCAGCTCTCGATCCGCTCTCTCGATTTCGCCGTGTGATCACGCGCACCCACCACCACCGCCGCCCGGTCGTCTTTCCGCACCGCTCTGGTTTATTGCGCGGCGGCTTCGCCTTCGCCTTGTTCCTTGCTCCTCCGCGTCCGCCGAACGATTCAACAACTCGTCTCGCTCGGTAACTGGAAAAAAAGAGAAATGGCGCAATTTTCTAACGGTCGCTGTCGCGCGCATACGAGATGCGCGACCTCGTGCGCTCGACGACGCGTTCCCCACTTCCCTTCGCCGTTGCCGGAGGCGGTCAAGCCGGTCCACCAATCGCGGCCAAGTTCGCGTCGGATTGGTCCGGACGAACGGCGGGAATTTTCGTTTGCCGTTGAAATTCGGTATATCTTCGGTTTATCTTCGATCGGATTAGGACTGAGGTTTAAAAATAAAATTGATGGAATTTATAAAAAATGACCCGAGCTTTTGGAAGAAAATTTTAATTTTTATAAGCTTCTTCTCTTGCATACGTCACTTCTTCGAGATAGATAATAATATCTGAGAAAAACTGATTAAGAAATATTAAAAGTATGATTACTTAAAATGAGCTTTTTGGCGTTATAGTTGATCATAGTTAAGCAAGAATAATTAACCAAGTCGAAAGTGTGAAGGAAAAATTGGCAAAATTAGAGAAAGATTTAGAGAAGCGAGGTAAAGCTCAAGACAATTTATAATTTTAGGTGTCACGTAACACAAGTCATTTATAATATAAATTTAATTGAAATTAAATATAATTAAAAACTAATTATTTAAGAATATTTTAATTAATTAAAATTTATATATAAAAAGACTAACTTAAAAGAATTAAGATACACAGCACACAAAATTATAAGTAGAATTCTGACACGAATGTGATTGTAGATCGTCTAAAGTGGCTTTAGATACATATTACATAAATACACAGCGTTGTAGCTTTAACATTACATTTTTTGTTCTTTGTACAATACAATACGTTAACATTGGAGTATGGCGCACAAATAATATATCGATTTATATTATATAGGATCCATATACTTATACGTGTAATGGTATACTTATTACGGCATACATATGAGTGAGATATGTATATGCTTTGAAGTACTATACAACTGTTGCCGTTTGCGTGAGATGCATGCCTAAACAATCAGTGTAATCAAGTCAACGACGATGCCGATATCTCCTCTCTACCCTCGCTCGTTACAGACCTAGTTTACACCGATCTCTTGATACGCGTATCAAATAGTATATTTGAACTGATCAGCCAATAATCAGACTTATTTACTAGTTATTTACTATTTAATACGCGTATCAAGTGATCGGTGTAAACTAGGCCACATCACGGGCCGTTGTACAATTCTATCCCGACCGGCGAATAGAGTCGGAAAATGGCAAACCCGGTGACTACACAGAGCGGTCGCGATTCTGTCGACGATTTGCAAATGCCGGCGCGGCCGGCGAAAGAGAGATTCCAAATTCAAAAACTTACATATGTAAACTTACTTAAGTACGTAAACTTACATATCGCCGTTAATCACGTAGAGAAATCTATTTCGAAAACCTTAAATACTTAATCTATATAATCGATATTATTTAATTTTATTTTAAAAAGTCCATTCCGATATGTTTCACCGTAGATAACAGATTTTTAGCTCGTTGCACTGAACGTGTTTTCTCTTTTTTTTCATTTTTGCAAATAGACGACAGAATTACATACACACACACACACACACACACACACACACAGTCAGCATACGCACGACTGACATAACAGATTGTCTTATATGCTATGTGCATGTTTTATGATATATAGAAATCACGAATTCGTTTACATACACTCGATAATTCCTTTACTAACTCCTTATGTCGTAATATTGTTTCTTATATACGTTATAATTGTTATAAAGTTCTACTACATACGCGGTAAAGTTGTTTAAGCGGTTAAAGAATAGAAAATCTACTGTATAAGCGGAATATATATTGTAACAACATTGTACTCAATTCTTAATAGTCTCTTGAGTTTCTCTCATCTCCTTTTTTTTTTCTTAATCGCGTCGGCCGAAAAAATTTCAACAAACGTGCCACTCGCTGTCTGCTTTCGAAAGCATACAGAAATCGTATTGCGGTGTGGAATTCAATGCGTTCAACGTAGACCGTATACTCGCCGAGTACCGCAAACTGCACGCATCAGATTGCTACAACCACGAGTATATAACGCTATAAACTACACGTACTTATAAAATATTATATCTATATATATATATATATTTATTTATATATATATACACATATACGTACACGTATCTAATGCAAATAACGCAATAAATAACATCTGCCCGAGCTGCCTCCGTTCCATCCCTGCACTTAAGAAACGTGTCTTGTGCTTTATAATTAACTTAAAGGATACATGAGGTAATAAGTTCAAAGATACACGCTACGAACGATGGATATCGCTACGCTTCGCTTTGCAATGTAAGAACGTCGCCTTCGAGCGTTCGAAAGAGAACTCGCTGGCTTTGCGTGCCGCACAGGGTCCATATCTTTTTTTTTTTTTTACCGATACGTACATACGCTACTACAGTCTTTGTTTCTTTTTTGTCGTAATGTTCGCGATCAGACGCCGTTGACAATATAAAACGGATGAAGATGACGATCGGTATACACGTAATAACGACAAGCCTTAGTCGAGCTGTTCTCTATCACGCACGCTCATTTCCTTTCTTCTCGATGAATAATTAATGAAACACACCCACAAATGATTCGTAAGGCTCAAACGAGACTTGTACGCCACCTCAGCCCCATGCGCTATCGTTTTAAACGATAAATACTTTAAAGAGCTGCTCAGTCTGCGATAAAGCCCCTTATCGTAAATAATAGAAATTTACAGCCGTTACAACAATAAAATGTAAAAGCTAAAATTATGAAGCGCTTTATGTATAGCTTAGGTTCGTATCAAATTGGTATATATTAAGTAAATTATATTCCCTCCTCATGGTGTGTGCCCTCACGTTTACGCATATCGAAAATTTATGACATGCATAATAAAATTGGCAGATTTCAGTATAAATATATATATGTATATTTTAGTAATATATGTGGATTATATGTAAAGTGAAAGAAAAGAGGAAAGAGGAGAAAAGGGGAAAGAAGAAAATAAAGATTATGTGTGTAATGTGTGTGCATAGAAATTAATAATAAATTACTAGCATCTATATAGTATGTACACTACATTTACAAAAAAAATTTTATGAAAAAAATAGTATATACGACAACACATTGGCCTCTGAAGATTTTTCTTCGGTAAAAAACAAGAAATGTTAATAATACGTAATTAAAACGGCGACTGGAAAAAGATACGTAAGCAAATACATTATTTTTATATCTCATATAAAATAGCTTGAAAACAATTATAAATGTACAACAATCCATGAAATCGTAGTTGTTTCCGCGCAAGAACATGCTGCAAGATAGAAAAAGAAAGCTTATTAAACGCATCTTTCTTAAAGCTGGACTTTTTTGATAAATTTTACATAATTTGCAGACACGTATCATTTTTTTCCCAGTCGTGGTGTTGCTTAAGAAAAATAGAGATAAATGTTGATGATAGGCCAATAACTTGTAAATATCTCCTCTTTGAATTATTTGAATTATTTTAAAAGTTTAGATTACAAATGCACAGACTATCCCAGCAGAAATATCCTGAACGTTTGGACGGTATTACTCGAGTGCTTTCAAACAGATTTGCATCTGCTTAGCGAAGTAGAGTATTAGAAGAAATGGCATTTGCGTTCAGCCCTCAAAGTTAGTGATGTTAGAGATATTCAGTAAAATAAATAATTGCAAAACTGATTTTCCACTATATATATGTGATCACATTTCATCTTCATACTATTATATTTTTCTTAACAAATAAGACACTTTCATATACTTACTCGGTAAGCAAAGTGTTAATAATATTCTAGTAATAATTCTAGTAATAATAAGCGAAACAGGACCGTTATATGAATGTAATTAATTGTATTCTAGTACTTTGGCAGCAAGATCTAGCAGAATATTGCAACAGATTGACGTCCTCGCGCTTTGTCAGCAGTGCCTGACAAACAAGAAGAAACCGAGCAGAATCTGTAATTTTTGTAAGCATTTAAATAAAATACGTCATTTGAATGATTATACGAAAAGACAGATTCTGCACTCAGTCTACCATCATATTCTGCTGGCAAATTCTATTATATTTCTGGTTTTCAACAGATTTAGCTATATTTCTTTCTATTTTTAATATCTAATAATAATTTCAAACTATTATACATTATTTTATTTAAAATCTCTTAAGTAACATATACTTTATGATATTTTTCCTGGGACAACCTGTATATATGAAATCAAGTTAATAAAACTAAGTCGAGTGTGTGATATGTTTATCATTGTAGAAGAGAATAGATTGCAAAGGATAACAAAGAAAATCGTTGTTGTAGAATAAATTAAATATAATTGTGTTACATGTGTAGTTGTGTATTAGATAGCGTCCAGATCATTTGGATAGATTCCGATGTAAAGTTGATATTTTATGAATAAAAAATTTGATCGGACACTATAATATTAGGCAATGTCTTTGTATGCACTGTTAAAGTCTCAAAGTTACACTTAAAAATGAAACAAAATGTATCAGTTTGAAATTAAAGAAAATTGAAGAATAAGGCTTTTGGGGACCTCTAAAATTTAGAATTCTTAAATATTGGAATTAGAAATATTGGAAGTAAAGTTAAGAAAAACGTTATTATTCATTTAATATAAAATGAACTTTAACTTAATCTCTTCATTTCTGGTCTCTGCTTTCAACCATTTTATATCTAATGTTAAATTTAAATTAGTTATGAAAAAAGATGGAGTTTAATCAAACCCTCACTAAGAACAAATTGAATCTGTGTATATGTATATGTGTTATGTGCGCGAAAGAAACATGTTGGAAATCCATGTTGGAATTGTCTTTTGTCTCTCAGACTCGCGATAACGAGTATGATACTCTTATTAATTTAGTTTATGGACAATAAATGCAGCGTCGTCATAACGTTATAAATTGTTACAATTCAAATTACAGTAAAAATATTACACAAGTTTGTGTATTAAATTGTCCAAAATCATGCAAAATGTAGGAAATACGAGAACAGAATCGAAGCTAATAATGGTCCCGAAATTGTCAGTATAAAAATTGACTTAAATAGGAAATAGCCAAAAACAAGACGATCGAAATGCGTACTTCTTTAACGAGATGTTATCCTACATCAAACTAATAGTAACCCGAATACACACCCTTCTAATGAACAGATTACATCTACTTCAGATATTTTCAAACAACGACAATGAAAACCGACTGACGGATTCTTCGACTAATTTCCAGTCGATCGTTTCTTGCGAAACCTATATTTCTTTTCCCATCTTAATTTTTAGCATTAAATATTTTTATAATAAAACTTCACCATTTGAAATTTCGTGAAGGATTAACTAAAGTTTTCTTATTTCGTTACTTGCGTATAAGATTATTCATTTTCATATGTATTTAAAAAGCTGCCGATACTTCGATACTCATGTATCGAGGAAATCCAGATCGGAGAATCCGTAAAGGTAGTTTCCCTTGCGTTAGCTAAAAACGCCCTATCGAAAAAAAAACCATTCTTATAGGCTTGTATACCTTCTCGTATGCGCATGTGTCGAACTGTGAGAGCAGAAAGAGATGAAACAAATCACCTAGAGAACAACATCGGGCAGGGAGCAATGCCACTAGGCTAGCTGCGTTCCACCTCGTCCAGCGTGATGTCCCATGCCGATCATGGAACCGCCGCTTCCTATGTCATCGCGAACGGTCTTCTTTTCCTTATAGTACAATTCTTCGGTTTCCTTCTCGCATAACAGCAGTACAGCTCCTCCGACCAGGAAGATTACCGCGCCCCAACCGACGCCGTACGCCCAACCGAATTCCCAGTTAGTACGATTTCCTAAAAAAGAATTAACGTATCTTATATAAATTCGACTGTAAATATGTGCGCAGAACAATATAGTCTTTCGTCTTTCCTTTTCTTTTGATTTAATCAAATCCATACGAGAGACGTATCGAGGGCTTACCGAGATTCAGTTCTGACGCAAAACATATGGGATATATGATCAGCGCTATTAGGAGGGACACCACTGAAACACACATACAGATGTAAGATGTACAGTTGACAGAAGATGAGACGAAAAAAGAGAGAGAGGCAGAAACGAGGCGCTCGTATAATACTCACGTGCAATGGCCATGCAGAACACTGCAAATCTATAATATTTGTGCTTATCCCTGTGATCCTGCGTGCGCAAACCCAGACCGGTGAGGATCGTCGCGGCGATGTCCGTCAGAAGACACACCACGCACAAGGCCGCAGCTGCCTTTATGTAGGCTGCAAGATAAAACGTGGAATTATACAATCCGAATGGACATCAGGGCGAGAGCGCTTAGCGAGGATGAAAAACGAATGGCTTACCGCTGTCCCTAGCTGGGTAGCATCCCGGGGGATCGGGCATGTTGAAGGGCAGCGGCGTCGGGGCACCTTCCTCGATGCAGTGGGCGAACAAGCCCTGTCTCCATCCCAGGGCCATCAGCCAGTCGGTCGACGCCAGGCCCATTATCATCAGCAGCACCACTATGATCCCGCATATAAACGCGATCACCTGCAAGAAGACGAGGGTGTGAATATAACAAAGCGACGCCCGCGGGGTCCGTCGTACCACCGCTCAAATTCCGCCGTCGCGGAATCGGGATATCGAGAGAGGAGGAGACGCTTCGCCTCGGGGAGAGACACGATGTACCTGCGCGATCTCGTTGTCGCCCATGTGATCCTCGGCGACTGTGTACATAATCATTTCACTTCACGAGTCCGCGATCACGATTCCGTGGAAACGAACACACGCGCAAGTCGGCGGCGAGCGGCGACCGGTCAGGACGAGGGGGGCAGTTCCTCCTCCGCGGCGTTCCTTCAAAGACGTAAACGCGACGACGACGACGACGGCGACGACGATACGCTTCTTCCAGGGCAACGCGCACGAGACATCGTCCGCCACCACGGCGCTCTTTAAACGTCGGCAATCTCCACGGAGTCGCGAAAACCCACCCTCCGTTTCTCTCCTTCTCTCGAAAGGGCACCGAGATACGCGCGTCGTGGGCTAGCGTGGGCCGAAGGGTTCCGCGCGACGATCGTGGGTTCGTGCGGGTGGTGGGGGGCGGGGAGGAAAGGGTTGATTAACGGGCGCGCGGGTCAATGGCTCTCGTCGCGCTGGCGGGCCCCGCAACGCGTATTGTCGGACGAGGGCAACCCCCTGTAACGCGCCGCGCTAGAGTTGCTCTTTTTTTTTTTTGGTCTATCTCTGCTCCTTTTTTTCCCTTCTTTTCGCTTCTTTTTAGCGGGGCGGACGGATCGCAGATCGATGGCAGTGTTCCAGGTCGTAGCCCCCTCCCCTCCTTCGCGACGCGAACGATTTTTAATGACCGTGATATACTTGCACGGAAGGAGGGAAAGGGAGGGAAGCGCGCGTCTCAAGCGGGAGCGACTGACTCTCCGCGACTGGGATCGGGAGAGGGAGGCAATCGGATTCCAGGTTCCAGGGAGGCTGCGCCCATCAGCGCCCATTAAAGGTCGCGGCGCAGCGCGCGCGAGCGCCAATCTCTGCCCGCTCTCCCGCTCTTCCTTCGCCCTTCTTTCTCTTCGATATTTTTATTTCCTTTCCCTCTCCCTCTCTCACTCTCTCCCGTTCTATTTGCCTGTCTCTTTCACGTTCTTCTAATTGCCCATAATTCTATCCTTGCATAGGACTATTCGTGTCCTTTTCGAATATAAATTATATTTATTTCGTTTCTTTGCATAAACTCCAAATTTTTTACAATCCATATGTGTCGTTACATTAACACTGCGCGGACCTCGTGTTTTTGGAGCATTCACCCGGACTCCCTGGGACTTTCAAGTCCAGAAAGTTTTTGAAAAGGTTTCTGTGTTACAAATTAAAAATTCATGTCATCTTTAAATATCATCTTTAAGGTTTCAAAAATTGGTTTCTATACTTACATAGACATCGGAACTGTTGCGATTTTATTTCCTATTCCCGTAGGAATCATAAATGAAAAATCGACCGTAGCTTAAAAGGCCCACAGTCCGCGCAGTGTTAAACTTTATTTCTCCATAATTCTGGCTCATCTTTCCATTGGAACACTCAAGTGCAAATTGAAATTGAAGCCTCAAAGTTCTTTCGCTGCGCATATGAATCTGTCATTCTGCAGTCATAGTTGCGCTGTATTATTTTATATTAGCTTCTTATGTCATCCTTTGCAGAAATGTATTCCTTCTCAATTACACTTTAAAATCAATTTTATTATTTATTCTCAAGTATTACAATTCTGTAAGATTCAATATTGGTAACTTACAGAAAAATAATAATCTTACATTCGACACAAAATTTTGCTACAAAATCTCGTAACACATGGAGACTGCTATATGCACGATTTATGGGCAAATTCTGTTTGCAGTAAAAAGAGAATGCGCTTTGATTAAAACTTTAAACTTACCTTAAGTGGCCAGGTGATGGAAAGGGTTTCGATAGTGGTCGTTTGAGGCATTGTCTTTGCTTTTTTATTTGCACTTGGCTGTAATCAAGAAGAAAGAACTCGTGTAACTAAAAGAAAAAAAAGAAACATGGTGCAAAGAAAAGTTTGGCATAAACATTTTTCAAGTTATCGTGCTTGAAGAAAAAGAAAAACCTCTTCAGACAGGGCAGAGTGCATTAAAGGATCAAAGTAAAACTTGGTTCAACATATTCAACCAAAGACAAATGTCTAACGTGATCTCTTTAGGACATCCATGGGTTCCGAAAGATGTATAAAAAGAAGAATGCTTTACACCGTCAAGTACAGTATTTAATTACAGTCTTACATTGGAAGTCTAACATAAACTTTGAATGGCAATTTTATTCTTATCATTCATATGTGTACGGAATTAAACATACAGTTTGATAATGCACCAGTATCAAGCTTAATATTTAATTCTACATATTTTCTATGCAGTCAAATCCCTGATTGGCTTAAATTCAAACCGCAAGATCCCAAAGCTAGGCGAAGAATAAAAAGAAGAATCGAGAAGCTGCTGATAAATTGTTTCTCTCTGCGAGATACCGCTTCGGCAACATTCCACATGTGATTCATCCAGAAGCCATCTGTGTTTACATAATCTTAATCAGTCAAAGTATTTATCCGCATTGTCCGTTTAGCATTACATCCTACATTTCAATCGCACCTTCTGCGCCTGCTCTCTTCGTTCTTCTCCCATCCAAAGATAGGAGAAGGCTCGACCAAGTTCAAATCTACCTCGAATGCAGAAGGTACGATCGAAAGGTACGCCCTTAGCGCCTTCTTCTCCACACAAATCGGAGTAACCGTCGTATCTGGGAAGCGATGGACATCAGTCAAACATCAGTAAACAATAGATGAAGTCATTCGCGTGACGCGACAAGCTGGAATTCCTCAACCGAGCGAATGAAGGGTATACGAGGCATCGAAAGACCCACGTTTCAAGCGAGCGATCTCGACACGCGTCGAGAGGAAAAGCGAGCCGATTGGAAAAGATCGTTCTCGCGGGGGATAGTTAATGTGTGAGCACGTTACTACTACCTGTCAGAAAAAAACCTCTGTCCGTCCCACTGCCACGTGCCATTGGCACGCGAGGTATCGGTTTTCGAGGATACGCGAATTCGCCAGGTGATTTATTCTCCGGGAGGACCGGAGCACGAATCCTGAACGGGATTCAGGCCTCTCTAATCGCGAAAGACTTGCGCGTTTAATCGGTTTCTTCTTCAGTATTTACCGTCGCGATCCCGAACGCGCCATGATCACTCGTCGACCACCGCGGTTCGCGGAGGAATCAATTCACGGAGACTTTAGAGAGATTCTCGTGAGCGAGTCGACGGAAGAGTGTAAATCGCGATTACTCCGTGATCATATTTAACCGATTTAACGTCTGGCCGACGCCTCGCAGACCCGATGAGTCATTTTAAGATAATTCCGTGTTTTGTCATACGAGCCATTCGTGAATAACCAAAGCCGTGCCACGGTTGTCTGTCTGCACTGGCCTGCACTCAGAGTGCACTACTCCCGCTCCTCCGTGCCGGAGGTGCACCTAATGGCTGCACTAGTTCAGAGTTTATGGCCGGTATTCATAGTTATTTAAGACCGTCTTAAGTTCATTCTTAAGATGTCATGAACCAATCACAGAGCCGTATTAGCGTCTTAAGACATTACTTAAGACGATCTTGAAGACTATGAATACCGGTCTATCTCTGTTTATTCTTTTACTCCACATTGGAAGATAAAAGATAAAGAATACATGTTCTGTGGCGGCACGAGAGCTATCCCCTCCTATCCTATCCCCTCCACATGCTACCACGGCGCCAATGGGCGCGTTCAGCAGACTAAACCGCTCAGTAGCATTCGGACATGATTGGCTCTTACTTTTAGAACCAACCAATCAACGTATTGTGTTGATAAGACGAACTCAACAGTTGTGTCTGCTGAACGCGGCCAATGGCGCGTTCGGCAGGCCAAGCCGCTGACTGAAGGTAAGGAAGATCATCATGTTCCTGCTTCCTGCCATCTGCCATTTCGATTTGATCCCGAGTCGAGGGAAGTTGAAGCGGCAGCGACCTGCGACGAGCAGCAAGCCAGGCAACGATGAAACGTGGTGCGGGCACGTGCGGGATTCGAGGTTTCCACGACGAGGAACAACGAGGAATTGCAAGAGATAAAAGAATCCTAACGATATCGACACGCTTGAGAGGATATTATAACGACAGGTGATTTTCACGCGCGACGCCTGTAGCTATCGTTTGATTGAAGCACGATTTGAGCGTAAAGAATCCTGGTTTCTCGAAAGCTCGTACACGCCGCGATTAGTAATCCACGTACATCCACTGCAATCGCCCGTCTTATCGTAATGTACACGCTCGCGATAGGATTCAATTCTTATCGTTAAGTTGGAGATACACTTATTATTAATATCCGTGATTAATATTAACCGCCGTCGATCTTGCGATTATACTTGAGCCTGTTTTAGAAGATCTACTTAATTCCTATCGGAAGTTTTATTTACATGCCACATGTTTTAACGTACGTGTGTACGTAACGTATATTTCAATATATATTTTTTACTCGAGTCCCTTTTAGATCTGTAATTTGTATCGGAATTCAAGATGGAATTCTATTCGCAAATTTTGCATCAGGAATCTTTTACGCTCGAATCTAAATAACATGATGAGTTTTACCGAGTATGAAGTCGTGATTATATTTGTACATGCACTACCAACTGAGGCATTTAATGTTAATTTATATATATTCATCGAGACAGAGCTCGAACATGTAAATTAATTACGCTAATATTTATTTTTCAGGATTACGATGCCAAGGTGAATTCCGCATTCTGTTAAACAAATTGGTGAGAATCCGTTATAAATTGCACATATCTTAATATACCTAAGTTTAATTAACATGATGATATGTTATGCGTATGAAATAACAGGATAAAATTTTACCCTATTTTGATTATTTTTACATGCACTACCAACTGACATAGATAAAACTTCTTTCATAAAAAATTGTGCTGTTGAAAACTCCACTAATATATATATTCCATTTTTGCAGGGAGAAAAGAAATGTATCTGCGTGGATGAAAATAATGGCAAAAGTCTAGCGATGGACGGTGTAAGTATGTGTATAAGTATACGTAAACTGTACAAAAGAGTACATCAAAAACTAATGAGACTGATTTGCATAATGTTTTTTTTTTTTTTTTTTTTTTAATTAATCATATGTAATTAGAAATTAAATAAAAAATGTTTCCGCACGTCTTACAGTTAATAACGTCAGTTTTGTATTTTAAATATAACAAAAGGAATTGGACAAGTGCATTGCGATGCAGGGAAAATACTTTCAGATTCGTTGAAAGATTAAATAAATATTTTATTAAAAATTAAATTTATCTCGTTATCCTTTGATACACTCTTGTACATATATAATAATAACTGTTGCTGCGTGTTACAATCAATATATTATGTGTTTGCATAATAAATATTAAAGATGCATCTGTATATTTTTCTCCTAAACAACCTTAACATATAATAAGAAATAAAGTATACTTTTATCATACAAGAGAAAGAAAGAGATTATTAGGTCGATGCTCATTAAGAAACATATTGCGGAATTAAAAGTCAACAGAAGTAAGTTGACTAGTTTCAGTCATGCCCGTCGAATTGTAGAGGTGCAAATAAAGTAATGAAAGCTCATAATTAAGAAATACACTTAATATTGCACCAGGTTTCTCTACAATAGAGTAAAGCTTTCTATTTCTTTGCTGAGTAACGTTCATTAGGAGATATTAAGTTAATGAAAATATGCACTTGTTTGTACTACTCTTCAAAAACATAAAGGCTTTATAAATCTAGTAAGCAAAGTGAAAATAAATATAAAAAATTTGATAATGCAGTGGCGGCAATGAAATGCACATGTAAAGGATACGGCACATTTATTATCTATAGTGATTCTTTCATTCTGTTTTCTTTTCTTCTTTTTTTTAAGCATTGTTTCATAAATTGACAATGTTCGTTAGCATTACAAAACTACGAAGAATCAAGATGGACCGATAAAATACGAAATTCTAAACGATGCGTCCGGCGTCGAATTTCTGGGTACGTACTACTTTGTTATAAACAATTTTCGTATCATTGTATGTATTAAGAAACGTGTCGGTGGGCATATCTTTTTTTTTTTTTTTTTGCGATGACACGCCATACGATGAATTTAAGAGATTGCGCCCATAAAATAACAACTAAAACTCACAACACGTCATCAACTGCAACGACATTTGTTAAAAAAATTATGTTCTTTATTTGGATCTTTAACGCTACCTCTTCATGGTCAAACCACGCGTATCGTTCACAATACATTGCGCATTGTCAGTAATGTGTCATTAATTGGTTTTCGACTCGACGATAATGAGATTACGTGGGAACACGAGTTTCCAAAAAATAATACAATTCTCGTGATAGAGTTGCGTGTGTCAAGTACATAAAACTATATTAATAATATACTTTAAAAATATCATATATAATATATATATATCTACCCATATTTACCTACAACATAATTTCCTTCATACGTATATACATACATATGCATATGTTGCGCGTTTCTTCTTTTGTATCCAACATATGTATATGTATATCACAAGTATCGTAAATCTTCAAGGCACTCCAGATGTATATTACATTCATATTTTACAAGTTGTGTTGTTCAGCGTTTAATGAACGGGGCATTCTGACGAGACGATAAAACAGGATTACACTTTACTCGTTTTAAAAGCGACGTAATACCGCTCTTCACGCACGTTTATACAGCAAACGAAAAAGGCGATGCAGGCATTATGAGAACGAGAGATATCTTCTTTTTTTTCCTTATATCACTCAAATGTCTCGTATAACTACTTTTACAATTTTTCCTACGTCGATGCCAAGATTCTTTTATAAAGCATTCCATTTTAAAGCGGACTTCATTAGAAGCATTCCTTTTCAAGCATAATTTTCAATTTTTTTGTGAAACTAGACATATATGGGGTCTGTTTTCTATTGTTAAACTGACTGCACTAGTTTCGAGTTTATCTCTTTTACTCCACATTGGAAGGAAAAAGATGAACTCTGAACTAGCGCAGCCAGTTCAGCAACAGAAAACAGATGTTCATCGACCTATGGTTTTATTTTGCGACAGATCATATATTAAGACCTATTTACGGTAGATGGAAGCGCGTCTTGCCATGGCACGATTTTTACACGCACAGAAAACCGTTCGTATTATTTATGTCAAAAGGAAATGGTATTGTAACGCTCAGCAAGTAGATCATTTTTGTCCATTTCCTTACGTTGTGAAATGATTACATCATCATGTTATATAGTCGATCTCAAATTATTATAGAAATATCAAATCTGATTGCACCAAATATATATAGCAATATAACATTGCAAAATGGTTGCCACAGAAAAAATTAAGCTTTTTTTGAAAAATAATTTAGTCTTTTTATAGCCAAATTATTTTCTTAAACGATGAGGATACGAAAGAGATATTTCAATTTTCTTCAATCTATTTATCAACAAATGTTTGTAAATCTATCACAAATATCTCGAACATTGTCTGTTACGCAATTGTAAGCCACGGCACGTTTTGTGGAAATATTTACATAAGAATTTTCACGCAGATAGCCGAAACGCTATTTCTAGCACACAAACGCTTCCATATATATATATATATATATATCTTTTCTATACACTATAGAGAAATAAACTGTAACGTGTCATAACGGAGCAGGACACGCTTTCATCTATTATAAACGGTCGGTAGACAATGATGCTAAACAAACACGAATATCATTTGTCAGTTATTATCGTAGGTAATCTAACTGTTCCATAGTCCGTAAGATCGAAATTTCGAGTACGCGAATTCAACTTCGAGTGAACCGCGCGCTGTGTTTATCCAAAATAGAGACTGATATATTGCCTACGTGTTTGCTGCCTCCGTGTCTCATATAACTTTGGCTTCCCGCTTTAGTAACAGCAAGTTTCACAAGCCTTCGTATTTCGTACTTAAATACAGTATGTTACAGAGAAATATCTATAAGAATGCATGTACATCACCATCGCTTACCCCTAGCAACATTTAGGATAATGTACACAAACAAGACATGTACAGGTTCATCGACTGGATAATAGTTTTGATACACTGTCGCGCAGGCTTTAAACACCAATCTCAGTCGGTTTTCTGCTGATATAATTCTTTTAACGACTTCAGTTCGTCGATTAGCGTCTGATTTCTGTTCTCCAGCACCGCAACACGATTTTCTAAGCACTTTATATATTCCTTCTTCTTTCTTCTACATTCACGCGCCGCCTCTCTGTACACATTAAAAATAGGGATAAGAATATTCTTCGTCGCTAAGGGATTTTCATCTTTTCTCATGTATGTGTAGTATAGGGAAAATCCTGTGTATCTGTATATTGTATGAAATACAGATATAACTTTGTATGTGACAAGTCTATTCTTATCGCTCACCTGTTCTTAAGCAACCTCAGCTCTCTCTTTCGTGCCGCATCCTCAACTACAACCCCGTGGCCTGCATAAGCTGGAACATTGCAAGAGACTGCACTTTCCAAATTTTTGCGTTACGTGTGTCAAAATTCTACATTATTTTTTTTTTACTAGGCAGCTTATTTTATTTTGTTCACTAAGAATGTATTTATGAAGAGGATATATAATTTAGAAAATACGTATCAAATAGTATTATTTCTGTTGATTTATATATTATCTCGTATTATTGTAATAAACATTAATATATTAATATATTAGTATGTCCCACTCTCCATGCAATAATATAGAATTACTCTTTGAAAAATAATAAATCGCACCACATGTAAAACAATATATACGCTACAACAATGTATTATTGGCACAATACAATGTTGTAATATAATAGAAACAAAGCTTTCTCAAGACTTTCTGATAGGAAATGATGCAAAAGCACACCTGGGACAAAAAATTGAGTGTCCTGGCCCTGTGCATACTGCACTATAGCTCCACCCGCTGTCGCCGCATTGCTCATAGTTAACGTGTGAAGCCCCGGAACACCCTCCCCTTGGGTCGCAATTTGAATAGTACCGGCAGGAATTACTGTAAAACAAATTATATCGGAAATATAAACGCACACATATATTCTTCCAAAAAAAAAAAACAGGAAAAATAATATCCTCCAATTAAACGATACGTGCCGTGCATCGATAACTGGAAATGATTATCTGCGTTAAAAAAGATTTTATATGCGTGATACACAGTGATATCGTGATTTCTGCAATATCTCGTATAAAAGAGAATTCCTCGAGTTTTCGGCGCCTCTTTTTTTTTTTTTGTTCCGTTGAATGATCCGAATGACGAGTCTATATATCGATATCATCCCATAAGCAAGAATGCCACACCAAGCGAGTATCGTGAGAAATGATATACCACGTTAGGCAGTACACACAGGGATGGAAGACAATTGTAAAATGTAAATGGTTTCAGATTTGTTTTTTTTTTCTTGTCTTTCTTTTTTTTTTTCATTCAAGTACTCCTCTAACATCATCTCCCTCGGTATGCAGAAGAATACAAGAGCTGCGTATATGGACAGCCTGTGGAACGTAATACAGCCAGGAAAGATACGTAAAAGGAAGATAAAGTAACCAACCTGTTTGGTAATGGAGCGAATGGGAAGACACTTCACTGTCCACGTTAGAATCACACTCGGAGGATGATTCTAAGGGGGGCAAACGACCGTCTGCAACACCGAATCAACCCAAACCCCCATTACAATTAGATCGTAACCGGTGCCGTTAAATGTGTGTGCGTCATTTTATGTACAATGTACTATGTATCACTTTCTCTTTTTCTCTTCCTTTTTTTTCAAGAGCGTCAAATCGCACTAATATCCTTATTAATCGCATTGAATAAATATATTCTAAATTACTTGCAAGTATCTGCATCCAGAAAGTAAAAACAATAACATAGCGACAAATGCGAAAAGAACAAAATGGAATTTCATCGTGTGATCGTGATTTATTAAGCTATTTCCTTTCTGGCTGCTGATTATACGACATATATTTATCGTTGCGTTGCGTGCAGTCAACTCATACAAGAAGGAAATAGGAAATACGAAAGAACGTTCGTCAAGGATAATAATTAGCTCTCAAATATTAAACGAAAAGATAATTAAATCCCGAATAGGAATAACATAGAAACCAGCAATTAATTTTGCGTAAGTGGCTCACACGTAAAACAATGTGAATTACTTTGTGAAAACGATGCATCTTATATAATTATTTTATTTCCTCAAATTAAGTCGTAACAAGGATATGCGAGGTGTATCAATAATGGGAAAGGATTGGGCTGATACTGTTTACGATTTCATGCAGTAAGATTACAATTAATTTATTTAAGAAATTAATTCGAGATGTTAGTGGTTACTTGCCCGGCATTTTAAATATATATTTCTCGTTATATACTACGTTCTTTTTTTAAATCAAACGTCGACATTTGTGTCTAATATTATCGTCGTAATTGCACTTACCTTTTAATACCACCATGTGTACGTGAGAATTAATTAAATTAACGTAAATGTCAACCCGATAATTACAGTGACATTTAATGGCTCCGTAGTGTATTGCGGTGGACATGAGTGTATTCGCCGATAAATCTTTGAAAAATCGTCTTTTTCGAATCAAGGTGGGCGATAGCTTTAAGCTTTCGTTCGTCAAACTTTCACTACAGTTTTATATAAGGGTTTTACTTTTTCCAACCGTAAATTTCTTTTCATATTAACGTTAGGTGTGAAGGTAATCAGGGTCAGAGAAACTATCTGCACAAACCTCCTTCCAAAATCTCCGATTTCTTAATCTTAATAATAATCTCCCATGTCTGCTTTTAAAGCTAATTTACCGTTCGCATTATTGTATAATACTGTACGAGCTTGGTATGGCATACTTCTCTTATATACTCGACGTAAAGTATATAAAAAAGGTATCGTAATACAGGCATCTTACTTGACCACGCGCTAAAACTAATTACGCCTTAAAGGATCTTATATTAGTTATTTGCAGTTTAAACTAAGAAAAGTGCTAGAAGCCTTTAGCACAAAAAATATTCATTATACCGTACCTGCTAATAATATACATATTTGAGAGAGAAAATTACGTAACAATATAATTTAAAAAGGGGAAAAAGGATATTTATGTTAATTTCAGGGGCACCAGATAATCTCGCGATTGAAATTCTTTATACGATTCCAAGATACAAATATATAAAAATTAATATTTAAATTGTATATTTCTTTCATACAGTCGTGTTATCGATTTGTATGAACTGACATGCACGTTAACGTCTTACGTGATTGACCAACATGCGCGAATTATTTACTTTCAATATTTATCTTATAACTTTGCATTCGCGGCGAATCGCAAGGCAAATTACGCGGACGATACAATTGATTCGCAACGCGCGGGAAACAAACGCAGGATTTATATATTCTCTGTATCGCGACGGTGAATTTCTATCGTGCGATAGAATGTCTACGAACACGTTTCGAAATAAGTTTGTCCAAGGTGGAACGTCATGGTCTTACCTGTAATTTCCCCTCCACCTAAATCGTTGAGAATCTTTCTGTAAGACGGTCGTCTGGTTAGAATATTCCTCTTCTTGGGTGAATCCTCGTCTGAGAAACTGTCGTCGCTGCCAGTTTCAACGACCTTAACAAAGAGCGAGATAGCCAAATTTTAATGCTCCGTTATTTAAATTATTCCCTACTTTTATACATATGTATTGATAGATATAACTGCGAGTCACACATTTTCGTACTGATAAAAATCCAGGTACTGTCTGAACGATGTGTCTTTAGGTTGAAGCGTTAAGCGGAGACCACACACTTCTGCACAACGCATAATGTGTAAGCATAAGAAAATTGATTGGTCCATATATATGTGCATAAGGAAATAGACCAATCAATTTTCTTATGCTTATGCTTATGCATTATGCAAAAGTCTGTGTTTCCCGCTTTACAAAAAGTTGATATGTCTGACTCACCTGAAGCGTCTGCAAACTGCCTTGCGCAGTTTGTATAACGGAGTTGGGTTTGCTAACCAGGATAACGTTCCCTTTGGAGAGGGTGACGGGCTGTATGTTCGTGGCGGTTTGTATCACGGACTGTTGATTGGGTTGTATGACCGATTGCACCTGTACAAGGATCAGGTGAAATGTCAAATATTAGAGACGGTTAAGTTAATTACCGTATCGTTAAAATCAGTTGAAAATCACAATACACATGATCATTATTCCTTATACGTGCAAAGTACATACATGTTGCATTGCATGGAACAATATCCCTTATTAATAACCGGTGGTACGATAGAAAGGAATAATGTACATGTCGTTTGTTGTGTGCCGTGAGAAAAGTGGGAACTTATTTGCATGAAATTTCAAACATACAGCCAAAAGAAAAAAAAACGTACGGCCAACGTATGCCTTTTACAAAATGTCACATTCACAGGAAGTACTCCCAACGTCCTACAATACTAAGGATGAGAGGGTGATCTTGGGAAGACGCCGTGCGCTTCCCAAGACGCCAACCAGCATTATGCAAGACCGGATTGTTCACAGGTCGCACTTACATCACAGAGAGAGAGAAACAATAAAACGGTAGTAAAAGGGCAAATAAACGGTATATGCGCATGCTCCGAAATAAAGAGAAAGACAAATTATCGGACATAGATACACAGGAGAGCCTCCTGTATACCTGTGTTGTTCCCGACGAGGGTAGCGTCAGTTGCACAATGCTGGTAGAAGCTACCAGGTGATGAGTTTGCTGCTGATGCGTTCTATCGAGAGATTGTACCGAGGTTGCGATTGCTGGTGCTGCGTCGCCGCTCTGGGAGCCCTGGGACAACGGATCGACGGCTGATCCATTTTCCTCGACCATACTTTCCATAGCCCGGCTACCTCGCGAGCTCTGCAACATAAAGCGCTCTGTAATACGAACATTTGATGGATCTCCGTAAAGAAAGGCAAATCTCAATGCCGTTAAACGTTGATTCGCGCGAACGACGGCGATCGTCACGAACACCCGATCGCGACACGACCGGAATCTTTGAATCGGGAGAGTTCGACGAAACGCGAGTCGTTTAAACTTCCCGCCAACGAGCGGGATGACTGCTACTGCGTCATTTACATAAGCGGAGCTAAAAATAATACGGGGTAGGAAGGGGGGAGGGGGACAATAAACACGCGCTCGAGATAATCTCTCTTTCTCTCTCTCTCTCTCGCTCTCTCGTTCGACGGAGAACGACGGAGCGAATTGCCATCCGGGTGAACGGCGAGAGTAACCCTCGATCCCGCACACGTCCCCCCCGGAAACGCGGGTCGCGGTAACCCGCGCGCCAGATGATTCCCCTCTCGCCCCCAGGTCGCGGATGTCAGGGACAGCGGGGACACACGGGCCGCAAAACCCACCTCGTGCCCGCCGTCGGATGAGTAACGCGGACGCGCGCGGTCTCACTCCCGCGCGGCCGTCGGGTCGCCATATTTCGCGCGGCGATCCCACACGTTGAGCGGAGCGGAGTAGCACGGCGGACGAGCGATGGAGAACGATCAGCGTTGTGCGTCGCGAGGGAGAGAGCGTAGCGCGACGACGGCGGCGGCGACGACGATGACGAGGTGGACGCGCGCGTTTTCCCGTATCTCCGTCTCGCGCGCGCGAACCCGGCGGCGACGCGAGGAGCGCGCGCTGGTCCACGGGCCCGCGATTGTTATTATTCTCCAGCTGGGGCACTTACCAGTTACGTATTTCTCGTCACCAAGTTTGCTGCAATCGGAGTGGGCAGTCGGGCAGGTACGTAGCAGCCACGTCAAAACTCCAGTGGCTTCGTCACTGGTGGAGCCCGCGACCTCTGAGTTGCGCGTCACGCTCAAGATGGCAGTCGCCGTCGTGATCGCTGCTGCCGCCACTGCTGCTGCGCCTGCTGTGGCCTGCTGCTGCCCCTGGCTCCTGCTCCCGCTGTTCGCTGATGCTGACGTTGACGCTGATGCTAATAACGTTGCTGTTGTTGCTGATGCAGAATCGCGCTCTCCCTCCGCCCTGAGATCCCTCATAATCTGATCTCTACGTTCTGCGCGCGTCATATGGGCCGATTGCGGATTTCAATCGCGAGCGACGGCGATTCCCGCGATTCGTTCTGTCGCGCTCTGTCGCTCCCCCTTTATTCGCTCCTTCTCTCTCTTTTCTCCCATCGCGCGCTCCTCATTCGCTCTCCGTCGTTCTTGCTCGCTCGCTTCGCTCGTTTTACAAAAGAAATGCGTGATATTACGCGAAAACGTATTACGTAAAAAGTAATTGCATTGTAGATTGTAAATTGCAGGCTTTCGGAAACTTATATTTGTATGTAGCGAATGGAAACTGATTGATAACAGATTTGTTAAGTTTTTTCGTACTTTTTATTTTT